CCCGAGACAAAAGGAACCAGTGGTTGAGGACACTTGTGGACAGCTAAAAATTGGTAACAGAGGTGCAGATCTTTTCACTCCTTAGCATCTTCTGAGCATTGAATGTTTGCACTAACCATTTTCTTTAAATTCCTTATTGTCTCACAAAACTTTGTCTACTTCGATATCACTCCTTTTCTATCCACCTTTTGTTTGTGTAATACTGTGAAGTGTGGCAACTTGAGCCGATGCATTCGTGTGCATGGTTCTAAGTTGACTTTGTCATTCCATGTCATCTCAAATCCCAACAGCTTTTGTCCAGTCGACTATAAACAAGCATTTGTGAAAACATTTTATGCAGCTAGAACGATATGTCCAAGTGTTTATGGAAAACAAGAGTTACAGCCTTGGAGAGATCATGTGAGTCAACACTTATCCATGTCAATTTTTCAACACATATGGAAGATCTGAATATAAGTTAAAGTAAGCAAGACGCAAGTTTCTGTTGAGCTCATCTTCAAAGTTGGTGATGTCATAGGGAAGATCAATAAAAGACTAGCCACCGCGCTGACCAGAACATTGCCTGCTTTCTAGTTGACCTCTCTGCAGAACCACGTGCTCCTTGGTACAATCCAAAATCGACAGGTTCACCTCGTGTAGTACTTCTGATAATGTTCATAAGTTTACGTGTATCTGCAGCAGAAATTACATTGGGAGAATAGAAACAAGTATCGAAATCCTGCACTTCAGTGGTACAAATGCTTTCAGCAGCGTAATCGCCTGACATCGTATTCATACAGGACATGAAGTAGACACTGAAAACCTTCGAAGTAATCAACAAATAGAGTAATTAGAATCTTCCGTAGTTCACTGAGGATGTATTAATTAAGGGACTGAAACCAGAATTGTGCTTTTGTAAAGAAGCGGTGATCAGTCTTTCTTTTTCCTAGTGGATTGATTTTTCATTCTTCTTGTTCTATGACAGTCTTTTAGTGAAACCTTTCTGTGTACAGAATTTTGGTAACCGAGTCCAGCTCATATTATTACATGATTTGTCCATCATTTATTCTTAGCTGACCTAGAGGTTAACCTCGCGTAATCTTTTGTTCTGAATACCGAAATGCTCCGTCCTATCCATATTATTTTTCTTGAACTGTCTCTAGAATCAGATATACAACTGAAGCCTCTTAGCACTTGTTAACTTTATCTAGTTGTTTGTTTTCCTTATTACACCATATCGCTTCCTGTTGGCCGACTTCGTTTACTCGCATCAATTATATATTATGTGATATGTATATGTTTCAGATTGTAAACAACCGATGAAAAGCCAACAGAATAAAATGATTCCATGTTATTCTGCTGCACTCGGTGTTCTCCTTCGAGTAACGTTCATAATGAGGAATATGTGAATGAAGTTGTACCCATAGTTGGTAGCAACTTGTAGCAAAGATGTGCTCAGTTAACATACACAGGGATATAGGTGGTGTTGGAAGGGGTGGAGTATGGTTCAAGTGGTCAAACTACAAGAGAAGTACTAAAAAATACTCACTTAATATACATATGAGGTAGATTAGATTAAGAAGGAGTTGAGGAGAACAAATTACATGAAGAGTCGTTAAAAAAGATCATCTTAAGAGGTAGTGCCAAGTTCCATTTTGACAATGACCAAATAACTGGCATGCGTCAGTCACTGTCAAAAAGTGTGAAATGGTAACAAAACAATGACTGCAACCACAATGGTAATGGTGAAAAAATTACAAAGTAAAGTGAGATAAAATCATTTTGAAGGAGTATTATTAAGGTCAAGGTAGGGGAAAAGGTCTTACAAAACGTTTTTGAACACTGGGTTTGCGTTTTCTTTGGCGCATAGCTAGTGCTTCAGCTGTATAACCTTTTGTAGTTGTTTAGTTTAGCTCTGTAGATAACTTAAAGAGGTGACTCTTAAGGATCCTGGCCAATAGCTACTACCTTGACGTGGCGGCTGGGCTTTTATATCGACCAACGCTTGTTGCTTCGAGGTCCTATCATGCCAGAAACGTCTGTTGGTTAGTAGTAAGACGAAAAGCAGTTACCGTTGTAGTGTTAATTACTACACTGTGAGAGGGTTCTAAGGGCTAAGCCATACTGCTGCTAGCTGGATGGGGTGTGGTAACAGTTAGGTGTTTCCCTTGGATGACCGGCAGTGCCACGCTGATGCTGTCTTCCCTGCGTGAAGGGGTGGGGGAGGAAGGATTGCCCCCCCTTAAATGACGCACTCCTCTCTGCCTCAATCTTCCGGTGCTGGCTGTATAGGTTTTCTGTGTCCGGGGTTCGAACAACCAAGTATCATCCCAACAATCTGCAAAAAGCTGTGTGTGACAGCCCTCAAGCAGATGTTCTATAGGCTCTATGGTCACAAATATTTTCCTCTTCAGGTACCCCAAGAAGAAATAGCCTCTCATGATGTGGGCAGCTGGTAGTCTATCTGACGTTCTACGTTCGCATTTTGACTACCAAATCGGATAGTCTTCGACAACATTCTTTTCGAAGGACCAACTTACAATGCCCAGTGTAGTCAGTTCCAAGGAAGCATGTGAGTTGATAAATACACACTGCAGGAGACAGAAGGAAGAACTTTCTTCCACACATTGTTGGATCAACTGTCGAAAAAACGGGAACACTAAACTCAAGCCAGTAGAATAAAGGTTGTGATGCACTTAGACAAATGGCTTTTCAATATATCTGCTGATGTGTCCTCGTAGAAACTCAAATTGATATGACGGGGTAATTCATCCCTTCATGTTTTCATTAACGAATCTTCGATGGTATCCATAATTCGATAGCGTTGTTTGAAGAGAATTGAGTTCCCACCAACCGTATATCTTAAACAAGTCCTCACAACTTGGGGTTATAATAAATGAATGGAGTTTCTGTTCCTGTTAAAAGGTAAAAGGTAGACTGATTTCAACAGTGGAGCATCATCTCTTCAGAGTTACATCTAGGATATGAGGTGTGGAATTCTATAATGCTTCAACCGTGAGATTTGTTGGTCAGCGGCAATCGAAATGGAGTGGTTTAAATTGGTCTCACTGACTTGCATATGTTCATTTTTTGTTTGCATATGGAAGTTAACTTTCTTGAATGGCTACAACTCTTGATACTCTTTGTTGATATCTGTTTACTTTCACATTTTCTGTTTACTGATATGAAGTATAGAAACTTGAACTAGCAGTTTTTTTACTTTAGGTTGTTAGCTGGAAGTTCTATCAGCTCGGATACAGAAGGTCCGTTTGACATGTACCAACTTGCATCACCTTTGGCACCAGCAAGATATCCGACTACCTATTAATGGACTGTTATGCTGCACTGCACTTTTTTCCATCCTTTTATACGACTGTGAGACATGCCCGTTGAAAGCAGAAGATATGAGGCGGTTACAAGTCTTTGATCACAGGTGTCTTCATAGCGATGCTTGCGTATAGTGAAATCACTATGTGAGCAATGTAGAGGTTGGGCGAAGGGTACTAGGCAAGGAAGGCAAGTCAGTCAGTGAAGTATTGAACCTTTGTCGACTGAGGTGGCTTGGACTCTTTGTGACTGTTGGTGACATGATTGGAAATCGGTCAAAGTGATGCAAATGTATTCACTTTCCCAAAACTTGGACATTTTCACTAACCTTGGTTTTCAATTTCCTTCTCCTCCCGTGCACCTTTGTTTACTTTGATGTCTTTTTCTACTCACTTTTTCTTTGCATGCTACTGTGATGTATGTCAACTTGAACCAATGCACTCCTGTGCGATGTTGTGCGTTGATTTTGTTTGTTGTCTGTTTGTATTATTATTCTAGTTTATTTCAATAGTAAGGCTGAAGAAATGGAGATAGTAATGGCGGTAAGTAATAGCAAACAGTTGTTTAGACTTGTTAAGGAAACTGGGATGAAAAAGTCAATGGTTAGTTATACTATGGTAGAATAAAATTCGTCTGTGATCCTTTTACAAGGAAAAGGTTTGAATCGGTGAGTAGAGTGTTTTCGTGAACGCCTGAAAAGAGTAAAAATGGAGGACTCTAAGGAATTGACACGAAATAAATTTAAGGAAAGTGACCCAGGATTACTTATTCAACTGAAATGTTATTTGCGAATCAGGTATGATACCGTCCTACTGGTTTGAATTGCCAATACACCATCAGTTTTCAGTAAAACAGAGTTATGCTATTCTGATAAATGTGGAGTTGTTTCTTTCAAGGATGTCCTCTCCTCACTTTTCAATTTTATAGGGGTCTCTGACTTATTTGATTAGGTAAGGATTAACTCTTTCGCAAGGGACTTTGTAGATGATTTTGAGCATGCAAAAGATAATGCAGACTGAGGAAATCTCGTCACTTGTACGAAAGGCTTGGCTGTCTTCTGCCAGTTTACACCATATGTGGTAAGATGCTTACCAAAGATCAAGTGTAATGCGCAACAGTTGGATCTGTCCAACTGCATGGCTGTGAAGCATAGTCATCAAAAGTAATGTGTAGCAAGACCCCAATTGTTCAGCCATCGTTGCTTCAGAAGCCTTGACATTTTTGGAATAGCTAGTTTTGTAACAAAGAGGTTAGGTATTAATTTTAAGGTAAAAGGTAAAGTAGTTGTTAAGGTTGTGACCTTCTGTTGACTCGGATGTTCGGGACGTGTTACGCATAACTAGTCACTATGTGACCCCGTTGCAAGGTGTTGACTGCACTAGGATTAGGCTGAGAACACGTTAAATTTGGTTTGGTTACAACGTAGCATCAGTGCATAAAGTTTACCCCTTGGTCTGAGCCATGCTGAGAAATATAGACTTCCCTTTTACTGAGGAAATGTATTGAATTAAGGGATCAGATTCTATTTTATGATTTGGGTATTCGTTTATTTTGTGTATAGATAATAATAAATTCTTCTTATCGTCTACTACATAGGCTAATGTGTCCTGGAGTTTAACTTTCAGCTGTTAAACACTAGTGATGAGAAATTTAAAGCGTTGTACAATTTCTGTTTTTTACATGTACATTTTTAGGTTGACTTCATCACTATTCTGACACTAAAATGTCCAAGGTTAGAAGCATTGAACTTATCCCATTGCGTTTCAGTGTGTGATTTATGCGTTAAAATAATTTCAGACAAACTACACAATTTACGTCGTCTCAACTTAGATGGTGTTCTATGGATTACGAACGCTGGAATTTTACATTTGGCCAACAGTGAAGCTGTACGCAATGGTAACCTAAGTGCTATATGGCTTGATGGTTTCGAATTGTCAAATTCTGGATTGAACGAGTTTATTATTCGCCTGATGCATGCTTCAAAACACATATCAGATCTTGAAAATAGTGTTTACCGTGAATCTGATAATCATATTTTGGGGATTCAACAGTTATGGATTAGTTTTTGTGATCATATTGAAGATGAGGCGATTAAGTCTATAGCTAACCTTTCAAATCTTGTTGCGCTTACCCTGAGAAAGACGCATCAAGTTTCGTCCGTTGGTTTGAGTTCATTATTTACCTCCGAAAGCCCCAATCATTTAAGCCAAAGACTAAGTTTGAAATATCTTGAACACCTGGATTTAAGTGAAGCACCTGGTGTTAATGATTCGGTAGTGTTGGATATTTGTAACTGTTGCGGTAATTATTTACGATCGCTCAGCTTAAACTGGTGCTGGGAAGTAACTGATATTGGGGTTGACCAAATTATTGATACATGCTTCTCTTTGCGTCAGTTAAGCCTTATTGGAAATTCCACTATACAAGGGAGAGCTTTTTCTAAGATCCCACTAAAAGTACTCCATTTAGCGATATTAAATCTAACTCAATGTAACCATATTGCAGATAATGTGCTTGAAACACTTGCACTTAAAATGCCAAATTTATTTGTGTTTGATTACTTTGGTGAGCGTGTCGGTGGAGGACTGAATGATATTTGCCACTTTGATGTTTCTAGAGCATTGAATAAAGTGCCAATATGTACTGATTGATTAAATATTGTGAATCTACATTGAGTGACTTAAGAAGTACTATTTTACACTAACTCTACTAGTTGTGATTCTTACGAATTAACTGTGACAATTGCATAAAAAAAATAGTTATCAGAAGGATTTTTAGTTGTATAAAAGATTGATCAATTCCAGTTTTTGCCACTAATTTTTCTGTTATATACAGGAATACATTTATCGCCAACTTAATATACATTGATGAATTAGACTTAATTTTTATTTTCTAGACTTTTTCCCCCGTAAATTTAGCAATGTGCAAATGCATCAAGGTCATATTCGAAAACAAGTTTTTGTTGTTAATGTTATTAAAACAGATTAATTATCAATCTAGTTTTGAATATTGTACAATTTAGTTAGAAGAAGTAATACTCTTTTGCAGTTGAAGTTTACATGACTAACTTGTTTTGTGTAGTTAACATTTTCTATTTCATTTTTAAGTTTGACAATTATTTGTAATTTGTATCTTCTGTGATTTATGTTTCAGCGCTTTCTAGAGCTATTATGCATAATAATAATAATGATAATAATAGTGTTTTTACCCAGAAAAAATTCATATTGACCATTTTTTCTAGGCCTTTTATTTCCGTAATATCTATTAGAAACTTGCCTCAGTATGGATTTCGCAAAGTTCTCATGCGCGTCCATGATTTTTAGCCCCATAAATGTCGAGTGTTAAGATAGACACTGCTTCATGAAAGTGAATGATAGTTGCGTTATGCCATGAATTGAAAGATTTTGGATAAAACCAAGCAAGCGTTGGGATTCAGCCTAGTGATTGAATGGTGACATGTTTGTGGTGATGATGGTTTTGTGCTCACTCTTTCATGAAGTCGTAGATTCACAGTGCTGGATTTTTAGACACTAAAGTGGAACAGCTATCTGCATCTTTTAGTTTTCAGGCTAATGTTGACCTACGAGGAAAACTGTTTGGCATTTTGTTAAAGAATTATAAACAATAAGGCTTACCATGTTTTTTGGCGCCGGGACCAGGGTGATCATGAATGCCCTGGCCCCAGGTGGAGACTCGCCTTTGCACTCCGGCGTGTTGAAGCCTACGACGATCCCTAGTCGGGCTCGCTCAGACGCGTAGTTTTTGCCAATGGGGTCTTCGGATTATCCCTTATAAACCTCGCCTGGTTAACTAGTACACTAGTTACTAGCCCGTCCTAAGCACGGGTAAAGAGGGAAGGTTGGGCATAGGGCTAGCAACCCTACCCCGGAAAACAAATCCAATCGCTAAAGAAACTTCAAAGCACAGACGAAATATAAACATAAAAACAAAATTATTCCTCGCTGGAATCGGGGAGGCGAAATGACGCCGATTGGTGAAAGCCTTCGGGAAGCCAATTGGCTGGGCCGATGTGTCTTCTCTCGATGAAAGCGAAAGTAAATGTGGGGACATGGAATGTCCACACCATGCTTGAACCCAGCGAGGCAGCCCAGATTGCAAAGGAGATGAAGAGGTATCACATTGAAGTGCTTGGAATTTGCGAAAGCAGATGGAATGGGAGTGGAGTCTCCAAACTGTCAACTGGAGAATCAATAATCTACTCCGGTCACCCAGACGACAATCACGAGCACACTGAGTTTTCGAGTGGCTATCATGATGTCCCCAACAGCATCGAAGGCTCTCATGCAGTGGGAACCAATCTCCTCCTGCAGGATCACGACAGCAATGTTCAACTCAAAAGGAAGGAAGGTCACAACCATACAATGTTATGCACCTACAAATAATGCAGAGCAAGAGAAAAAGGAGGAATTCTACAGACAACTTCAGTCAACACTGGACAAGACGTCAGGTGGCGATATCAAAATTCTAATGGGCGACATGAATGCCAAACTGGGAGGGGACAACACGGGAAGAGAACTAACCATGGGTCGAGAGGCACTAGGTGAAATGAATGAGAATGGAGAATTGTTTGCAGAATTCTGCGCATTCAACGATTTGGTGATTGGAGGCAGTGTGTTCAGGCACAAAGATATCCACAAAGCGACATGGATTTCACCAGATGGACACACTAAAAATCAAATCGACTTTATCTCAATCTCAAGAAAATGGAGACGCAGTCTACTTAACACAAGGTCAAGAAGAGGAGCAGATGTAGGTTCAGACCACTCACCATTTAGTGCAAGGGACCTTCTAAATCAAGTTAAAAGCCTTCAAGGAAGTTGGTGATAGACCGCAGTTCAAGTACAACACTCGGAAACTGAAGGATGAAACTACAAAGGAGACCTTCAAAGCAGCCATCAAGACAAAATGGGAGACGTCGAGGGACATCCCTGAAGAAACCTGTGTAGAAGAACACTGGAAGTCTTTGAAAGCTATGTGGAAAGAAACCTGCACAACAGTATTAGGAAGGAAGAAGAAAGAAGACAAGGAATGGATCTCGACGGATACCTGGAAGCTGATAGAGGAGAGGAGGATGGTGAAACAGAAGATAAACCAGTGCATGGATGCTCAACGACAAGAGGAACTGAGCACAATGTATAAAACACTGGATAAAGAAGTGAAGAAGAGTGCACGCAAAGACAAAAGACACTTCTACGACACACTGGCAAGTGAAGCAGAACAGGCTGCAGGTAAGAGAGACCTGACGACATTGTATCAAATAACCAGGTTGCTATCAGGGAAGAGACCAACACAGATGAAACCAATAAAAGATGATGACGGAAATTTAATTACAAAAGAAGAGAAACAGAGGAAACGATGGGCCGACCACTTCAAGAAGCTCTTGAATCTACCACCACCACCACCACCTGCACTTCGTCCAGAAATACCACCTACAGCCGCTGAACTACGAGTGAACATAAATCCTCCAACAAAAGTGGAAGTCCTGAACGCCATAAAGCTACTGAAATGTGGGAAAGCAGCAGGACCAGATGGGATCCCGCCAGAAGCACTGAGAACAAATGCAGAGACAACAGCGGACATGCTCACACCACTATTGCAGAAGGTGTGGAAGGAAGAGAAGGTACCTGGCCATTGATTGGAAGAAGGGTTACCTTGTCAAACTTCCGAAGGGAGACTTCAGGGTTTGCCAGAACTGGTGAGGAATCACTCTCCTGTCCACCCAGAGCAAGCAAAATATTAAGCCGCATCATCGTGGAGAGGCTGAAGGATGTGCTAGATTCAAAAATACGACCGGAACAGGCAGGCTTCAGGAAGTACAAATCATGTGCTGACCAAATTGCAATGCTACGCTACGCATCATCATAGAACAGAGTATAGAATGGCAGTCGACTCTCTACCTCAACTTTATCGACTTTGAGAAGGCCTTTGACAGCGTCGACCGCGAGGTAATTTGGAAACTGCTTCATTACTACGGAGTACCGCAAACCTTTATCCGCCTCATTCAACAACTATATGAAGATGCCACATGCCGAGTAATTCACAATGGGAAGCTCAGTGATGCCTTTGAAGTGAAGACAGGAGTGAAACAAGGTTGCCTACTATCCCCCATGATATTCCTAATTGTGGTGGACTGGATCATGCAGCAAACAGTAGGCAGCGAGAAGAGGGGGATACACTGGACGACGGAAAAGAACCTAGAAGACTTGGATTTCGCCGATGACTTATGCCTAATGTCACATAAACTTGAAGATCTGCAGGCAAAAACTAACAAGTTGACAGAAGAGGCAGCGAAGACGGGACTTCAGGTGAATATAGAGAAGACAGAAGTGATGAAGATACCGCACCACCACCATCAACAACAACAACAAACTCCAATCACCGTCAACGGGAGAAACTTGAAGGAAGTAACCTCCTTCACTTATCTAGGAAGCACTGTTTCAACCACAGGCAGCACAGGCACTGACGAGGATGTCAAAGTCAGAATCGGAAAAGACAGCAAGACAGGCGTTCATTAGCCTGAAACCAGTGTGGAGATCTTCTGCACTCAGCATGTGCAACAACATCCGGATTTTCCACACCAACGTGAAGTCAGTGCTTCTGTGTGGCTGAGAGACGGCGCGTTACGAAAGGGATTCCCAATAAACTACAGACATTCATCAACAACTGCTTACGCTGGCTCGCTACTGAAGATCAGATGGCCAGAATAATAAGAATAAGCAACAAGGAGCTCTTGGAACGAACCAACCAAGAAGCTGTCGCTCAACAAATATGCATTGGAAGGAAGTGGAGATGGATTGGGCATACACTGAGAAGGCTGACTGGGGACATCACGCGTCAGGCCCTCGAGTGGAACCCCTATGGGAAGCGACGAGTTGGGCGTCGGTGTCGAGGGTGACATGGAGGAGATGGTGCGAGGAGGAAATGAGAGGTTGTGGGCTGTTGTGGAGCCAGGTTGAAATGATTTCAGAGAACAGAGTTCACTGGATACGTGCTACTGAAGCGGTATGTTCCATTAGGAACCCAAGGGACTAATAATAATAATAATAATAATCTCTCACCACTCCTACATGTTACAGGCTTTTCTTTCAGTCAAAGTATATAGTCAAATGGCACTTAAAATAAACCAGAGGTAGAAAAACACTCGTTCAACAAGACCATTTATGATGACCTCTTCTTATTAAAACTTTGTGAACAATAGCGATAATCGATCGTTCACCAATAAACACATATTATCATACAAGTATAGCAAACAATACACTCGCATGTCCTGCAACATACGTGCACACACATTGACTGCCCTACACTTTTCTTTGACAAATGACAGAAAAAAACTAGGAGTTCGTGATGACCAATCATAATTACTCAGTCAGAACAACACAGCTTAATGTTAATGTCTCTGCAGCACTGTATGATGTGGGCTAGGATCTCACAGTTTCCTGAAGGTTACATATACGCCTTGCTGACAATTACCAACAAGCACGAAATCTAGATGCAAGTCTCCCTGCCAACTGCTTCTAGCCAACTAAAATCTGCCAAAGTACATTGCGATGGTGTTTCCTAGCGTGGTGGTCACATTGTAAAATGATCGGTAGAAATCGGTCAGTACTCAGGAATAGATATAATAAATTTGGTTACTCCTCAGTGTACAATTAATATAGAACAGAAAACTACCTAGCCAATGACCTACAAAATATTTTATGCTCTGATACTGGGTGACGATTGAAGATGAGATGAAAATTTGGACCACTGTGGGATTCGAACCAGCTACCACTGGGCTCTATTTAACGATGTACTTTGATCACCAGTTAAAATCCGAATTTAGCAACACTTCAATGAGTAGTTTCCTTTTGTCTGTACTATTCCTACCACACCTTCAATCAGCATGCACCTTGTCACTTCCAACTCCCTATGCTGTATAACTTTCCCTGCTCTTATTTGTATGATGGTAAATAACTTAAAACGATCATGCTTATTTTACATGTGATTCTGTTGTCTGTCACACTACTATTAGTGTTTTTTGAGGGTGGTGGGGGTTTTATTTTTAAAGTAGTATTCGTTACGGATAGACATTGCTTTGAGGGCTATTGGAAACTTAGGAGCATTGGACAGGCGTCTCGTCTTCGTATGACACTCCTCAGCAATGCGCATCCACGATCTCACCAGGGATCCAACTCAGGACATTAAGGTGAACGCGTTCACCATTCATCCA